AAAGGTTAATTTGCTTGCATGGAACGCATGCATGGTAGACGGTTTAGTGGGAGATCTCAATGAAAGCCTGAGGCAAAAACAGTCTCTCGCCCTTTTGCAGAGTACGTTTCTCCCCTCAAAGGAGAGCAGAATGACGGTGAGGCTGAAGAGTGGGGAGGAGACGATGCTTATCTTACACATGTCCACGTGCGCTTCCTAATCACACCTGTCTTGGTCACGAACTGTATGGTATAGTTGTCGCAGATGAGGATCCACTCTGTCCCTAGTATATCAGTGCTCCAGTGGCATCACGCAGGCTGCGGCCTATTGCCACTGTAACTGCTTCGCTACCTTCTCACAGTCGAGCTACTCCAAATCTCCCTATCGCAACCACTCGAATGTGCGACACCTGCTCCACATTTTTCGGCATCGACGAGATCTGAAGGTGCATCTCATTGTGCCTCTCACTTTAAACTACGACAATTGCTTTCTTCTCTCCAACGCATTTGACAGTGACAGCATGCAACTCGCCTTGGATTTCGTGAGGAGTAGGCGTTAGAGGCCTTACGAGGGTAAGCCAGGGCCGACAAAGTTCATTGATGTGGGAGTTCGTCGATATTACTGTGCGTACCAAATCAGTTGGCCAACAGGTGGAGGTTGGGAATTGGGAGTGCAAGCACTTGACTTACGTGCTCCGATAGACGCGGGGAAGAAAGCGTGCATACATGTAATCGACAAGGAGTAAGTCTGAACGTCTATTGTGCAATATTGTCGAGCCAGACTTACGATGGTTGTCCAAACTACCATTCCTCGTAATCTCAACACATTGACTCCCAAATGGTATGAGTCTACAGTGATTGTGATCACGATTGCAGCAATCGTCTTACTGCTTTACGTCGTCACTCACGAGGGAAGTCGGAGAGGCTACAAACAAAAGAGACGTCAAACCGAGCGTGCAAACGACTAATGTACATTGACTGAAAGGTGTCGTCAATCAGTAAATTGGGCATCTGTGGTGCCATTGCACAGACGAGGAAATGACGGCATCGAAAGCAGATGGGCAATTCTGCACTTCGTGGGCACCAACTGAGACAATTTGTGAAGCAAGCTCATGGACTGGGAAACACAGTAGTTGGAGCTGTCACTGTATAATTAAAAGTAGGCATGAGCGCGCTTGGTGAAGTCCGATCAACAGGATCTGAACTCTCGTTCAGGCTTTTGGATAGCGACGATAAGGCACTGACCCACATTCCCACTAATTGAGACTGCGACTTTACCTACAATAACAAGGAAGTGGGGGTTGATGGTGCACTGAGCTAAAACAAAGTCAATCGCTTGCATGAAAAGGTAGACGCATGCACACAGCTGAACGTCTACTCATTCGTTTATGATGCTGTCTCTAACAAATTTCCACCTCCGAACGCTACGAAAAAGCTGCGTTAATTTGGGCAGAGAGTGTCATTTGGAAAGCACTAATGGCGCTTTTGTTGGACGTAGCCTGTTGCTTTCTCGGAACTGTTGTGCATTACTGCTATGCCGACTGGATGGAAGACTGCAAGGGTGGTTTGCTGCAAAACAGCATGCATCGCTCTTTACAAGTCATTATCTGCTCAATTACAGAGTGCCATTTCACCATGATCTCTCCCACACGAGGAAGACACTGAGTGATGTGGCCACCTTCCGTCCCCCAATCACAGGGTGGCACATGTGTGTGTATTTACAACCCCAACGCCTCACGGGAGATTGGACAGCGCTAGCTGCTCACATTTACAATAACCACGATTTGAGCTTTGGTGACGGCCAACTGAGGTAGGCGAGATGTGTGAAGCTCCACTTTGGAGGGTGCTGCCACCAAGATGTTGATGGTGGCAGCGAAACAGGCATCATGCGAACACGGCTTCGGAACCGGCCTCAACCTCTGCTCCACCCACTTCCAATTGCCTTCTCCACGTCCACTCCTGCGCGTCTACTCGTTGAAGTGTTCCACCGTAGCCCAACTCCTTACCAATCACTACAACCGGGCATTCACCTGACACTTTTCTCGTCGTATACTGTCCAGAAGGGAACTGCCATAATGACGCACCCAACCATCTTCGTAAATGACATTGGCGCAGCTGCCACATCCACCTCGGGAGAGGGTGCGATGCACACTTGCGTCCACACTAATTTGCCGTCGGCGTTCCAATCGAGAAGCCAATTCTTCATCCCTGCCTGTCATATGTCACATGCATGCTTTCCCGTTAGACGTTTCATGGCATACTGTCGGAAGGAGTGGATACAGCTATGACACATGTCTTCGACCACTCACGATGCCAAATGTACCAACTCCGGGTTTGTATCAGCGTCACCACCCGAATGTTTCTGCTCACTTACGTCTAAGATAAGCGAGTAAGCGGGAGCTTTATCTCCACTCTCGAATGCGACACTTGCAATATTGTGATACCATTTTAATCGCTCCCGTTCTGGCTTTCATGACTCTCTGGCAAGCGAGCAGCAAATGGAGTAACAACGACGTTCAAACAAATTCTTTTTCCTTTCCTCCTCCTCCATCTTATGTTCCCTCCTCCTCAGAGCAAAGCAACATGCATTCTGTCATCAAGTTGATTTCCACTATGCATACTCCATTGCCCTTTGTCCTACTACGGAGCAGCTGCGAAGCAAATGCCTACATTGCCGCACGAAGCAATTCGACACACGCAGCGACGTCATCTTGACGACACTTCCTCCCCCACACCTCTGCCATTCCGCTCCGAGCAAAGGCAACTTCGCCTCTGTACTACTCACATTCGCCATCAACTTCAGTACTACACATTCTCATTCAACTTGTACGCTCATACATGACGCTGACGCCTCATCACTTCTAGTCGATCATGAGCGAGCCGACACTCGATTGGCCACACCTCTGCCATTTGGGTGGTCAACGATATGCCTTTAACTGAATTGTCCTTACCACTCCATTACACATACGGTGTCGGGCATTGCATCGTACGTCGTCACTTGGACGCCCGACATGCACCATGGGAACAGATGCTAAGTCACGGGAAAGCGTCACACGGTCCTCATGAGGACCACTGCATCCATTCGTGATTGTCCATTTGCATGGTCTGCTCTCTGTAGCCATGTTTAGTCCTTTCTCCTCGCAGTGGGAGAAAGCTGTGTGGGCAAATAATAGCGCGTCCATCAGTGCGATGTTATGTCCGATTTTTGCAGCTGATGCACACTTGTTGGTGGTGCCACGGGACGCGACACTCTTGCCACGCACATTTCGCAAACCACTGCACAACCGTTTATTTGGCCACGTGCTTGTTGTGATTCGTAGTGTAATGGGAGGAAGGATGAGGGGAGAAGTAGTTGTTTTCAGACTACTTCAAGGCGGAATCTGTAGAATCGCTAAAAGTGGGTGATTGATTCCTTTATCGTGGACTCAACATCATTATGCTTCCCTTAGTGGTTTTTGTAGCACCTATCTGAATAAGGTGTCAATTGTGTAACCACCGCAGTGAACTTTACGAAACTGAAACAAAGGAACAGTAGAGTTGTTCATCATAAGGGTTGTGTGGTGCTGTCTGTGCGGCTATGTCGTAGCAAACAGTCCTGTAATGCACGCTTTGACCTCCAGGAGACGACAAGCGATGCGGTGTTATGCACTGTTTACACTTGGGAGTGGTAAAGTCACCTTAGTAAAGGGGCCATGTAAAGCAACCGAAGGTCAATCAGTCGAAAGTTCGTTTGTTAAATTTCAAGGTAAAAATGAGGCATAGGCGTTATGGTTGAGCACCAAGCTCTTATGGCTCCACTTTT